ACGGTAAATGTGTCAAATTGTGTACCTCAACTTTTTCAGGTTTGGGCATGACTTGGTCCTTGAGCGGTTGTGGAATGGCATATTCCTGGTACTTCTTCTGAGCAGTGTTGAGTCCTAACCGTCTCTCATCTTCCATGATCTTCCTACTGAGCCTTCTAAGGAGGTCCTGTTTTGAGCCATTCTTAGACACTCCAAGTTCTGTACACAATTCCTTGAGGATCTTCAGGCTGTTCTGCTGGTTGTACTCATGACCATCATAAATGAACGTAAGTTCTCCATGAAGTTCATACCTGTGTGCAGGGGCCTGTGGTTCCTGTTCGTCAATCTCCATGCTTTCATTCTCCGGGACTGTTTTGAGCCTTTGTTCCTGTTGTTGGGCCTTTGAACCATCTACTGGGTAGACCAACCTGAACTTAGACAGTCCTGTCCATGATCTCACTCCGAAAGGCGATGAGAACTCGTCATACTCATCTGCAATCCATGGCATCTTGTCCTCAAAGAACTCATGGTTCACTGGGTCCTCTCCGTAGGTGGATCTCTCGTTCTGGAGGTTCTCACGCTCTACGGGAATGTCCTTCAAGTCGAGCGGATGAAAACGTGTCTTCCTGGGCGTGTGGTGGTACCTGATCAGTTCAGTTCCATCCTTGCTAAGAGACCACTTGTCATCAGTGTACTCTTCAAATGTACGTCTGTCTTCCGCTTTCTTGGGTGTTCCTATGAGGTAAGGAGGAAATGCCTTGGACGAGATCAAGGTCAATACCTCAAAGTTCTGGCTCTCATCATAGATGTGGCCAAAAGGTTCTTCTAGCTCTTCATACCTTTCGTTGTAGTGCAAGAGCTGCCAGCCTTCGGTGTCTCTAACCAAAACAGCTCTGAAAGGATGTTTTCCTTGAGGATACATCATAGCTGGGTCAACATGCTCTGAGCTCTTTGGGCTGTAGTGGACTACATAGGGCTCGGTCACACTTGTCCATCCAATTCGACCTTCAGCTACGAGGTTCCTAAGCGTTTCACAGAGATAGATTGGCGTAGGGACTCCTGTTGTTTGGGATGTCGAGACTGTCCTGACAAAAGCTTTAGCGGTGAGGGAATTGTTGTTGTACGCTACTGCTATGGAAGTGTTTCCTTCAACCAAGAAAGTTCCTGTCTCACTACCGTTCCGAAATTCCCAACCTTTCTTCAACAATTTTCCTACAGCTAAGAGAGGGTGAACAACTGATGAAATCAAGAAGACTTCCTCAACCTTCACACAGTTTCCACCAACATCCTCAAACTCAACCTCAATAACCCGCTGGTCCTGTACTTTTATCCTAGTTCCTTGAGCGTCTCGGAGTTCAATCCTGCGTCGGTCCGGGACCTTCCTACCGAAATTTCGCATCCACATAGGGGCTAATGAGATATCTGCGCCTGAGTCAAGCACAACCTCAATTTCCTTTGCACCTGGGCTCTCTCTCACTGTCCTAACAAAGTTCTCTGGTTCTGAGGTGTACCAACAGTACAAGGGGTCCTTCTCTATGTCTTCACTCTCTTCATCACTCTCACTTCCAATCTGAAATTCCTGCTCTGACTTTCCTGAACTAGCCGAAACCATCAAAACTCTCCCGAAGTAATCAATTTCAAGTTCCTCAGAGTCTTCGCTCAGCTCGAACTCCTCAGGAAAGCTGGTCGGTGGATCACCGATGTGGTGCATTGTTACCATCCTGATGATCGGCTTCTGGGTTCCTTGACCTGATGAACTGGCTGATGTTGTCGCTGTTCTCGATGTTGGAGCTTGGGTTGAGGCTGTTCCTCTACTTGGGGCTTCACTCTGAGTTTCCTGCATTTCTACATTCCTAGCCGTGTACCCCATGTCTCTCTGTTTCTTCCTACACTGGGCCTCAAAGTGTCCATACTTCTGGCAGTAATGGCAAACTCCTGTAGCTGCTTGGGCCTTTCCTTTGCCTTTACCTTTGTAGCTACCTTTGAACCCTTTGTAGCCTTTTCCTCTGCCTTTGAAACCTCTAAAGCCTCTACCTCGGCCTTTCCAGTTTCCACCTCTGCCTTTGCCTCTACCTTTTCCTTTGCCTCGACCTTTGAAACCACCTTTGCCTGAATCCTTGCCTGAATCCTTACCACCTTTCTTTCCTTTACCTTTGTACCCGTACCAATCTCTACCTTTGCCTTTCCAAGCCTGAGACACATCCATGGCTGCAACACCCTGATGATCTTCTCCCTTGTCGATTAGGTCAGTAGTGGTCCTATAGGGTGTTCCTTGGGACTGCGTAAGCGAATTGGTCCACTTCTCAGTTGACTCATAGTTCACAAGATACTGCCTAAGTGCCGGGTACTTTGTCTTCTCATCTAGGTTGAGCAACAAATGTCTCTTTACTTCAGGCTTCATTCCTTGAATCAATGTACTAACCTTCAAGTTTTCCTGCACCTTTTCTCCAGTGGACTTCTCGTACTGCTCAATGCGTTCCTCATATTCGAGGATGTTCTCTGCAATGCCTTTGTCCTTGGCAAAACGGAAATTCATGATGTTGTGGAAAAGTTCCAGCGATCTTGCTCTATTCACAGGCTGGTATTCTAACAACAGCATCCTATAGGCTTCCATCCCGTTCTCTTCTGTCGTATGGCGAACCACACGATACGGTCTGCCTTTGGTGTAAGACGCTAAAATGCTGTACAACTTCCTGCTTTGCGTTTTGGCCTCATCAGTCATATCTTTCATGTCCAGCACTTCATTCTTCCTTAGGTCGTTCTCCACGAGGTCCATGGTTTCCACAAGATCTTCATCCATAGCGCCAAGCCAAACTCGAAGTCGTTGCTTGAACTCCATGAAACCATTCTTTTCTTCTTGCCAAGTTCCTGGAGAAAATACTTCTGGAGGCTTGATGAGTTTGTGAAGCTCAACGTCACCTGGCTTTCTTCCTTTCACTGCTCTCTCTAGGCTGCTTCCGATCTCCTCGAAAGTTGTCACTGCTGTTTCCTGCGCTTGAAGCAAAGTGTGCTGTGCCTCTGCACTCTGCTGCTGAATTGCCTGCAGTGTGTTGCTGAAGCTTGCTGTGATGCTTTGCTCTCGGGCTGTGCCGGCTGCTGCACTGCTCCTCATCTCTTCTGCTAAGGTTTGTATTCCTTGAAGCGTTTGCTGGTTGATTTCTGCAAGTCTCTGTAGTGCATCTTCCATTCCTTTGGCTGCTTCCAAGTTGCTGTACACAAGCACAACAAGAAACATTGTCTTGTGCTGTCTCCTCACTTCTGCTCTTCTTCTCCTGCTTTTCCTTTTGGGCTCTTTCGCTCTCTTCGTTCTTTTCTGTACTGCTGTAAAGAACAATCGTGAGAAGTACGATAGGATGATCCAAGTAATCATTCCTAGAGGTGTTCCTGCGAAAACTACGAGATGAATTCCTTCAAACACTAAGCTGTGCACGACGTCGTGAAACTTCTTTTCTAGCTGTTCGAACTGTTCCTTGAAAGGGATCTTTTCTACATTGTGAAACTTTCCTTCTACTAGGCGCCTAGGAGCGTAGCCGGACTCAAGGCTCTCATTTTCTTCACTCATGTACATGTCGATGCTCCTAATCGTGTAGGCATTCATGAAGTCCTGGTTCACGGAGTACTTGTCGTAGTTCTTCTGAGAATGCGTATTGGGCTTTCCTGGGAGGCTCGTCCACACAACCATCAACTCACTCTCGTCAATCTCGGCAATCACCTTTCTCCCACGTCTTTCTTCCTTGGAGGATCTGTCATCTCCAAGGGCAAGTTCATCCTTGGCTCTTCCGGGTCCAAGGGCCTGCCACGGATTCTCTTCGAAGCCATATCTTCCTGGAGTCATGCTCATCCCGCACAAAGTGGCGAGGCTCCCCAGGGCAAAACCAACCAGCAGCACTATGCCTGCTGCCATTCCGTAGCATCTCATGTTCCTCGTCTTCACTTCCTGAATCGTGTATCGTTCAGGGAAGCAATTGAAGCAAGGGGCAAAGTCCCTCACTCTTCCACCAGCAACCGTCAGGTTCCTGATGTGACCACAACCTGGTTTGTGGTACCTTCTTCCTGCTCTTGTTGCTATCCGGACTGTGGGGAGGTACTCGAAGAACTCTCGGACTTCGACGTTCTTTTCCTGTTTCCACATTTGTATCATCCCACAGACGAGAGAAGCCATCATGGCTATGAGGACGATTCCTACTCCTGCTATGTGTAGCATCATCGCTGCCTCTGGTTCCTGGGCGGCAGCTCCGCTACCATGTCAAAGATAGGGTCAATCTAAAGCTAACTGAAAAGCTGCGACACTCCGCACTTTTCCTGGGTTCGCTGCGGTGTGTGTCCTTGTTCGAGCCTGTCGTCGACAAGACGTTCCGAGGCTCTGGTGTGCATTCCACATGCACCTGGTGCACAGCTTCCTGTACTGCGTAGATGTTTAACATATTTAGGGTTTAGGGTTTAGGGTTTAGGTTATACTTGGGCCTGAAAGAGGGGTTCCCATATCGTAGCTTTAGGGCCCAAGTATATACTACATAGGTGCATGGACATATTAGTTAGGGGAGGTTCTGGTTCCTGTCTCTCGAAGACAGTACGGAGCTGAGGAGTGTAAAGGCTGTTGAGGGCACATTCGAACCCGAAAGAAACGCATGCAATTTTGTGTGCAAGCCTGAACCCTAAACCCTGAACCCCCACTCCGTAGCCAGATCCCACTCCTACATTGCTATGTTGGAAGTACAGTACTGAAGACACGACGTTTCCCCAGCTTCGCAGATCGGTTGCCCTAACCCCTAACCCCTAAGCCCTAGGCCCTAAGCCCTAAACCCTAAACCCTAACCGGTAAGAACAAGGGATAGTAAGCATCCATCAACTTTCAGGCCCAAGCATAGCGTTCAAAGCCCTGCATCCTCAACAAGGTTTAGGGTTCAGGGGTTAGGGCTTCTGGTTGCTCACGGTCTGAGGGCTTGGGGACAGAAGGAAACGAACAAAGAAACTTTAGCCAAGCCACGTGTGCGGATCCTCATACCCATGGAATCGCCCTCTCAGTGGCTGTAATGGTTCAAGCTTGAGTTCGCGTGGGGCAGGCCAATCGCGCCAATCCAATCCACGAACTCGTTCCTTATCTTTGCCAGGCTGTGTCTGGAGGACATCCGCTCGTGTCTATAACTACCTAAACCCTAAACCCTAAACCCTAAACCCTAAACCCTAAACCCTAAACCCTAAACCCTAAACCCTAAACCCTAAACCCTAAACCCTAAACCCCTCAATCCTTCCACCTGTACCCTGGCCAAAAATTACAAATCGTATGCAGAAGCATCTGCCCTCCGATTCCACAGGAAGCCCGGCTTGAGATTAACCCTAAACCCTAAACCCTAAACCCTAAACCCTAAACCCTAAACCCTAAACCCTAAACCCTAAACCCTAAACCCTAACCCTTGCCAGGTGGGGGTGGAGGGACTTCCCAAGGTGAATCAGGATGTGACGGATTCCGGTGCGAAAATCAAGGTTCTGCCTTCGCGGAAAAGCCAACTCGAACCATGACCAAATCCGGCAAGTCTATGTGTTTTTGGAAGACTTCGAGGTGGTTGGAAGTGGGGCGTTTCAGGTTTTGAGGTTCTAGGCGTGAGGCCTGGCTGGGGCCTGACGTTTGGCTTCCTGCTGAGAAACCACCCTAAACCCTAAACCCTAAACCCTAAACCCAGGCCTCAAAAGTTGAGGGGTCTGGCCTCAGGTAGTATGGGGAATGGGGAGAACGAGCTTGCCGAACATGAACATCCAACGTTGAATGAAGCGTTAAGAGGTCCATGCTAAGCACATCACGCACAGGTCTCCCAGTACGCGACGCTCTTGAGGAAGGATCTCTGGTCTGATGTTAAGCTGCGCCATTTAATCCGAGCACCTGTTTACTTGGGCCCCCCCCCCCCCCCCCCGCCACAATAAGAAAGGCAGGGTTCTGCAATAGTTGGACCATGGCCCTGTATTGATTCTCTAAACCTCTGTAGCCCCTGAAGTGTGGCACCTGAAGTGCAACTACCTGCAGGACCGCCCTGCAGATTTGCTACAGCTTGCAGAGCCAGGGACAGAGGTGCAGTCTTTTCTTGCTGTAGCCCCTGAAGTGTGGCCCTTGAAGTGAAGCTTCCTGCAGGATCGCCTGGCAGATGCCGGAGGCAGCTTCGCAGATGTTTCACAGATCGAAATTGCAGGTCCGAAGACAAAAAAAAGGCCTGCGGTCAGATTTTTCGAACCTCCCAAAAAGACTCTTTAAATGTGGGGGGTTATCCCCATACGAAATCCACCCTAATGGAAAGTAGTCTTCCGGCGGGCTGGCGGCCGAACAAAATTTCTTTAAATGTGGGGGGTTTGATTAAACAGGTGCTCGGATTACACTTAGCAGCATCGTGTCAGCCGCTCCGCATGTCATGCTATCCAAGCAGGCAGCACAGGCAGCACAACTTCCGGAGCAGCTCCGGAGCACCCTCGACAATGAGAAGGGCCGCCCATGCCGCAACCATCACTTGTCAAAGCTACTTGGAGGTTCATGGGTACTTGTAAGTAGGGTTATAAGTACCCAAAGTAAGGTGATAACCATAGTTACCCTACTTAAAACCCTACTGATAAGTACCCATGAACCCCGCGGTGCTTGCCAAACTGTTTCCTCCGCAGCCCACGCCAAAAATCTGGAGCAACTCTCTCGTCCCCCTGGTTCTTAGTAGGGAATGAGGGAATGAGGCACCCTAAAGCCTAAACCCTAAACCCTAAACCCTTAACCCTAAACCCTAAACCCTACTGAGAACCAGCCAGTCGTGGTACGCAAGTGTGTGTGAGCTCTTGCGACAACGTGTGGCGTGGCCCAAGCTAGCTTGTTCAAATACTTTGGTTTTGCATAGATCAGGCGTGCCAACTCTCCTCCTCCTGCCATCCTTGCCCTAAACCCTAAACCCTAAACCCTAAACCCTAAACCCTAAACCCTAAACCCTAAACCCTACACCCTAAACCCTAAACCCTAAACCTGGCGTGTGGTTTGTATCGGCCACCAAAAGCTCCCTGGCCGAGGGGTAGATGGTCAGTTCTCCGACATGAGGTTCTGGCTGACTTTGGGGTCCCTGATGCAGTAGTGCCCCTGAAGCTGAGTAGGTTTTAGGGTTTAGGGCTTATGTTAGCTATTAGGGTTTAGGGTTTGGGAGACAGTGAAAACTGACCAGGTGTCTGGACCCGCTTTCGGCTCGGGGACTGTGCTGGGCAAAGCAGCTTCTTGTTGGGGATGATACCTCACTCAGGCCCTGGCGAAGGTAGCGAGGGCACACCTTCTGTTCGTCCAGGCTCGCTTCTTTGCGAACTCAGAAGTGTGCACCGGCAAATCTTTGCCCGGAACCTCCAAGTTTGTTCAAAGCCCTGCAAAGTCCTTAGTTTAACTCTTTTTCTGGGCAAAGGTTTGTCCCTTACATGTATACGGGGTAGATGTGCAAAAAGCAGTGTCACACTACCTCCTTACCAACGTGAACTTTGCTTTCCGGCAAGCCGCGCCTTGACTATACAAAACAAAAGAGCCCTCAGCCCTAAAGCCTCCCAACCCTCAACCCTCAACCCTGAACCCTGAACCCTGAACCCTAAACCCTAAACCCTAAACCCTAAACCCTAAACCCTAAACCCTAAACCCTAAACCCTATGTATACCTTATATAGTCCCTATATACCGAAGTATCCCCTGAAGAAGCCCCCAAAGGACCCCTGAGGTCCCTTATAAGGGTCCCTCCTTTAGTCCCTTGCTTGTAAACCCATTTAAACATGCGGCCCTAACCCTAAACCCTAAACCCTAAACCCTCAACCCTAAAACCCTAAACCCTAAAACCTAAACCCTAAACCCTAAACCTTACACCCTAAACCCTAAACCCTAAAACCTAAACCCTAAACCCTAAGCCCTAACCGAGCATCTGCTTGACCGTCGGATGTGGGAAATGCCCATGTGGTCAGTTCTCTAAATCAGGGTCTTTTAGGGTTTAGGGTTTCGGGTTGTTTACCTTGTAGTTAGGATCCCAAAAGGGGCCATACTTGAGAGAAATGACCATGCATGTAACGGGCAGGTTCTACGCTGAGTTTGTCGTCAAGGCGTGCGGATAGGGACTCTGGGGAGTTTCGGATGCGCTTGAGGGTTTGCAGGGTTTAGGGTTTAGGGTTTCGGGTTTAGGGTTTGCAGGGTTAAGTGCGAGGCTGTGCTTTCAAAGGGTTGTTCGGGCAAACTAGGGCGGTGCTGCAAACCCTAAGCCCTTTCAACCCTAAGCCCTATAATTATCCGAATTCAGGTCTCCGCCTTGGGGCTTGAGGCCCTTAGCCCCAAACCCTCTTTTCGGGAACTCAAACCCTGCGCCAAAGCGTAAGGGAAGCTACTTGCTGAAAGGGCTCTGAAGTCTGGGCCCCTGGGTTCTAGGGTATAGACCTACCTCTGGAGTAGACCCAGGAAAAGAAGTATTTACTGTTTAGGTACAAGAAGCTATCATGGGAACCCAAAACCAAAAAAAGGATTAAAGTATAGTACTCCAAAGCCCAGCTAAAACAAAAAGGGTAAATTAAACCCTAAAACAAAAAAAAAGGGTCAATTAAACCCTAAAACCCTAAAGCCCTAGTCCCATGTAATCACAAGGGTTTCCCCACTTCGGGGCCAGAAATTGATGGGACCCTGAAATCTAGCCTTCGACTTCTCAAACCTTTGGAACCCGGGGCTTGCTGAATGCCGGGAGAAGGCCCCCACTGTACTGCGCAGCAAAAGCCCTAAACCCCAAACCCTAAGCCCTAAGCCGAAAACCCCAAACCCTCAGCCCTAAGCCCCAAACCCCAAACCCTAAACCCCAAACCCTAAACCCTAAACCCTAAACCCCTAAACCCTAAAACCCGAAGCTTCTTGCCGCTCGGGGTCTGGTCCACATAAGGCTTGGCTTGCCCGAAGTGCTGGTACAACCTCGGGGTCTGGGGCTTGGCGAGGGGTTTAGAGGTCTGGGGTTTGAGGGCTTTAGGGGGTTTAGGACTTACCCTAAACCCTGACCCCTAAACCTTAGGGGCTTAGGGCTCTAACGTGGTTTGGGGTTGGCAGTCTGGGGCTCAGGGGTTTGAATGTCGCTGGGTTCCAGGTGGCTAGGGCGAAGCCGCAACAAAGAGCCCCAAAACCCTAAACCCCAAACCCTAAAACACCCTAAACCACAAGGTAGGTCATGGGCCTGAACCACCAAAGCCACGTTTGGGTGAATTTCTGACTAAACCCTAAACCCTAAACCCTAAACCCTAAACCCTAAACCCTAAACCCTAAACCCTAAACCCTAAACCCTAAACCCTAAACCCTAAACCCTACTAAACCCTAAACCCTAAACCCTAAACCCTAAACCCTAAACCCTAAACCCTAGGCGTTTCTGCTCTCAGGGTTCGTGTAGTTTCTCACCTTGCCAGCCATTGTGAGTCCACGACCTGGAGCGGAGCAACCCTAGCGTGGCTTTGCCCGCGAATCCCACATTGCGCGGACCCCCAGCTGTAGTTCACTCTACCTGCGGGTTCGTTGCCTTTCTGCACTTATCCGGAGCAGTGCCCGGAGCCTTTTGTTTCGAGGGCTGGCAACCCTCCTTGCCTTGACACTGGTCACTGGCACCTGCTGGTCTTTCCTGGTGATTGCTGGCACACTGCGCTTTTTCCGGAGTTGCGCCCGGCTTTTCCGTGGGTCTGTCCCCGGTTATTGCGCCTTTTAGTGCAGAGTGGCGCCTGCCTGGCTGGTGGACTGCTGGTTTATGCCTACCGCATCTTTGCGGTCTCTCCAGCTCGTCTTCATCGCGCTCCACGCCTGCTGCGCTGGGCTTGTACACCACGGCCAGAGAACCGGCCTGGCACAGGCGCCAGAGGCGAGCCCGCTGTCGAGCGAGAACTCAACTGCGTACCTTTGTGGGTGGTGCAGTTATCGACCGCAGCACGGTCCTAAAGGCGGCGTCAAAGCTGCGCGGACACCACTCCAGGTCTTTGTTGCCAAGACAAGCGTTGCAGAAGCTGGACACACCTGCAAACGAGGTCATGGCGTCACATTCCTGGTGCGAAGTCTGTTATACGAACAGATCATCGAAGGCTGCATTCTGCCAGACGTGTGGGGGCAAACTGCAACCGTACACCACAGCCTCGGCTTGGACGGAATCGCCGAGGCGAAGGGCTACTTCACCGCGTTCACCACGGAGGAGACAACAACCCTTCGACTTTCGGCAGCCAGGCAAAGGCAGGCCGCCGTGGTCACAAAAGCCGAGCAAAGGCAAAGAGAAGGGAACGAAACCGAATCCCTCCAACGACGAGACGTCGGCCAAGACAGTGCCAAGCGCACCAGTGGCACCGACGATGACGGGATTGCCGACGGCACCAGCGGCTCCCGCAATTACGACAACAAGCTCTGTAGCTGCACCGAGCGGACAACCATCAGCGGACCGGCTCGCGTTGCAGCAGTTACTCATGGTGATGAACCAGCACCAGGACAAGCTCCCAGACTCAGTGAAGGCCGCGCTAGAGACCCACCAGGTGCAGGACCAAGGTCCTCCACAAGGCGGTTTCGGCACAGCAGAGGGCAAGACAGGAGTTGGCGCGCGTGCGTGCCGCACGCGCCAACTACCTCGCCGGTTGGAGCTCCTACCTGGGCCAGATCCAGGACCTCTTACAGAAGCAGGTCGGGGACCACGATCAAGTCCTACAGTCACTGGACGATGGGGAGATCCAATGGACTGCAAGCTTGGCGGCAGCCTCAACTGCGCTCCAATCCAGAGTGGGCGTAGCAGTCGGTGCAGAAGCACTGGAAGGCCTCGATGCGGAGATGCTGGCGGAGGCACAGGCGGAAGCGACCGAGGCCAAGGTGGACGATCAGATTGCACTGGAGCAAGCACTGCAATCACAGCGAACCCGCCAACGGGAGTCGACACAAGGCTTACTGGCAGCGGTTGCAAAGGCGAGGCAAAAGGCAGAGACGGATGCGGAAGCAGCCGACAAAGAGAGGGACAGGACCCCTCGCAGAAAACAGAAGCCACCGCCCAACGCCACAGAGACCATTTCGGTATCCGATGGCGAGCCGCCCCCTGGCAAAGCCTGAGGCTAGCACCGTCACAGTGGACGACTACCCTTGGGCAACCACATTCCGTTCGACAGGAACCTGATCATGTCGACGGACACCTTGCAACGTTGCTCGGTCTAAGTTTGCAGTATGAGGTCAGCCGAGATCACCAAGTTCAGTTACTGGTCGATCCCCGACTGCCAGTGAATGAAACACCAGGCGAAAAAGTTGAGCCTGGTACGCATTTCATCATTGCGAGTTCTAAGGGAAGTTCTGAGGGGGCCTTGCATGATCGAAACAAGGGAATTGTCTCCCCTGCAACTCCCATTTCGGCCGCATTCTCCGCCTCAGTGGGCAAGCTTATCTGCTTTGCCGATGAAACACCAGGGACACATTCCCCTTGCACTAGGGCCAGGGATTGTCTTGTAAGGATTTTGCGTGCGTGCCGGCGAATGCCGAGGCCCACTGCCAATCCCCTCCTCGCCCATCCCTGCCCCAACAGCCCCTCACGTTCCATGAGTCGTTCCGTTCAGCAAGAGGGTGCATCATGCAGGTTGGAGTCGAGTCAACACTCCCGACGGCCTGGGCACCCACTCCGGAATGTAGGTTTTGGGTCCCCTCCCCTTCAGGGTCTTGTGGGATCGCGTTGCCGAAATGCAGGAAAAGGTGTCACTCGGACACCTGCAGAAGACGAATGGCCCACATTCCCCTCAGAGGGACCTCTCGACCCTCTTCAAGACCATACCCTGCAAGTACCCCTGCACAGCGCGACGGCCTCAGTCTGGGTCCACCTTGTTGCACCTGCAGCCCTGAACCAGGCCATCGCACTAAGTGAAGCAATTAAACATGACCATGCATATGTCATGTTTGACACTGCCGATCACATGAGGGTCAGAAAGATCCTACCCAACTGATATCTTATTCAGATTGTGCAAGATGCTGTGGCAGCTTCACGGGATGGCCCCATCACTAGCGTGACGGTCTTGCGCGTGCCCTTTGCCGCACTCCCCTCTGTCCAGCTGGTGTTGAGGGCCGCACATATTGTGCCAGGATGGCTACCAGTCCCCATTGATCTCAGGCACCTTGGTCGCGACTTCTGTACGCTTGCCATACCCAGCGACTCTTCGGCCTACGAGGCAGCCTTCAGAGCAACCCAAGTTTGCACTGGCCTTCCTCACAGGTTTGCACCAAGTGTTGCCCGAGAACAGATTTGCCTCGATAGCCTGGGTCGCATGCAAGGGGACCCTTTTGCGCCGGGTGCGGTGTTGCCAGTGCCCGGACTGGTAGCTAGCTATAGAGGGGTCCCCGGGTCTTCCGGGAGTGAGTCCTCCAACAGCCAAGCCTCCTCCTCTGATGATACCACGACACCACACTTTGTGCAGGTGGCTTACGAAGAGCATACAGATGATCTCTGTGTCGCATACCATTCTCCAGGCTTAGAGGCACTAGTGCTGCACCACCGCCGTATCTCCGACATGCATGACATTTTGAGAGCCGCTGCTCAGATCCGTGCAGCAGCGACAGGCATCAAACATTGGAAATCGCACCTAGTGCCGCATCAACCACATGTTGCGGGTGTCGATCTGCATTGTGTGCTTTTGCCGGCAGGAGAAGGTTACCCGGAGGAGGCAGTCATCGCTGACATGCGGGGCATCTTTGCCCCCTCCATGGGAGCATTTGCTGCAATCCCCTTCATACGCGCGGCGCACAACCTTGAGCACGATATTCTGGAGCGAGTTCAGTCCTACCTTCTGGACGCCGCACTTGCTGAACCCCCACAGGACTTTATCCTCCAGTTGTCACAGAAAGGGGGACTGGTTGCTTACGCGCAGGCAGGGGCTATTGCAACGTATGATACGTTGGAGGTCGCACTCAGTTTTCCGGGTCTAAGACAAACACTGATGTGTGCAAGCCATACCTCGCAACTTGCTGCTGCGCCACTGACGGGGATGCCCTCAACATCCTCCACGACCACCTTCATGCACACAGAATCAGGACATGCCCCCGACCAGACGCTCCTAGGCGCCAGGAACCCGCTCATTTGTCGCATCGGTCTACAAGGCCACGGCATCGTTTCTGTGGAGTTCCCAGGGAATCCTGATGCTACACAAATCCTTGAAGCACTATGGGCAGAACTTGACGCTGAGGGGCACGACCCACAATTGCGCATGGTAGTGCCGAGCTGCCAGCCTGCACAGAGGGTTGCCTTCAGGGAGCTATTAATTTCTACCTTCTCGGTCGACCAAGACCGGAGCGTTGGGGTGTGGGTTGACCTGCGACCGTCCGGCAAGCTGACATATGTGCAATTACCTATCGCTTCGCCCCCGCCCAGCTTTGCTCACGAAGACACTGGCATCAAAGGCTGGTTCCTTAACGGGGTTCGATGGGTAGGTACCCAACCCATACCCCCAGGGTCCTATGCCACAACTAGCATTGTTAGCCAGGCACCCGACTTAAGACCAGCTGGCTACTTTGCGGATAGGATTTCGGGTCTCGTGGTCTGTGGACACCTTTTTTCAGATCAGGATCCGTACATATGATGCTCATCGCCGCTGGGAATGGGCACTTGCTGATCTGTTAGAAGATACTCCTAGGCGGGTCAGAAGCATTCAGCTTCTTTCTACGCCCATCTGGGGCTACCCAACTCCGCAGCTTGTGCTTACTTATGCTGATGCACCCCCGGCCCACATGGCTGTTCCGGTCGATGCACGGGGGTGGAACCTGCCAGTCTGCACGGTGGACCTCGCGCCAGGAGAGTCGTGGACAGGCATTTCAGCAGCCTTGCATCTCGCACGCCCGGACACACACCATTGCACGGGGACAGGGGAGAGGTTTGAGGTTGCATTGCGTTCGGGTCTGCTTCGGGTATTTGCAGCCACGGGCCCGACACAGGACCC